CATGCCACAATCTCTTCTCCTCCATCCTCCTCTTGGGATCTCAGGCACACACGCACACGCACCCAGAGTGAGTTTAAGCCACTGGGTCGGGGACTTGAGCTGCAGTTGACTACATGAAGTTCAGTGACATAGCCATTAAGCCAACTGCTGGTCCCTTCTTAGTTTTTTTTAAATCTAAAGTCATTTTGCAGTTTTAAGATCCCATCTAGGATACCTCATTACATTTTGTTATCATTTCTACTTAGGCTCTTCTTGGTTATGATAGTTCCTCAGACTTCCCTTGATTTTCATGATCTTAATGATTCGGGGGAGTACTAGCCAAGTTTACTGAACAGTTTCCCTGTATTGGGATTTGCCTGGTATTTTTCTCATGACTAGACTGGGATTAAAGGTTTTGAGGAGGAAGATAACTGAATTAAAATGCTATCTTAATCCCACAATATCAAAGACTCATACTACCAACATGATTTATGGTGGCTGCTGTTGACCTTGGTCACTGGCTGAAATAATGTTTATCAAGTTTCTCTGCAGTAAAGACACTCATTTCTCCATACCATACTCTTGGAAAGGAAGTTATTATGTGCAGTTCATACTTAAAGAGCAGGGAATTGTGTTCCCAGTTCTGTCATTTTTGAATTCCCCAAGACAAGTTTATGAGAAAATAAGAAAAATAAAGTAAGAATTTTTATGCTTCTTTTCTCCTATTTCACACATGAGAAAAAACTCTGCAGTTTTGGAAGATTAAGTGACTTGCATGTGGTCATGACAGATAGGTGGAAGAATTGTAATAACATTTATATTTGTTCCCCAGTGCTTTATCCAAAGCATGAATTTTTCTGCCAGCCTCACCCGTGGTCTCCTTATTTTTCTATCACTTTATTCTAAATCTTACTTCTTAGTCTTTGTAATTCACACTCTGTCACAGTTCAGAAACTTTATTTTTGACTGTGGCTTCCATGCTTGGCTCACTCTTCCACTTCATTTTTATGGGCCCTTAATCTTTTAAGTGTGTTTCGTTTTCTCGGAGAGTAAGAGACAGAAAAAGAGAAAGAGAGAGAGAAAGAGAGAGAGGCAGGGTCACTCTCAATAAGATCTCATGCTGCATTCCTCCTTCCATCTTCCTGAGCCTGCCAGCTTGATGGGCATGCATGTGTGTGCAGGCAAGCCCAGGAATCAAATGCTGCTCTTGCATATATGTGTCTAGAGTCACTGGCAGCATGCTGCCTCTGTACAGTGGATGACCAGCCCTTAATTCTTTTTATTACAGCTAGTTTTCCAAAGTCTGATGAGATTTTTCTCTTTTTTCTTCTTTCTCTTTCTTTCTTCTTTTATCAAAAAAAAAAAATTAAAATCTTTTTATTTGCTAGACGGTGCATGCACTTTCCAAAGGGAGACAGAGGAAGACAGAGAGGGAAAGTGAGAAAGTACCCCATGTGGGGTTCAAGCTGTCAGGTCTGAACTCAAACTGCATGAGAAAATCCATTTCTCCTTTTAGGATTTTGGGCATGCACACATGCATACCCAGAGTGTTTTACAAGCCACCTGATCTGGGATGCCAGTCATGCAGTCAGCCATGTGGGATCCAGCTGCCTTACACCACCATGCCACCAATTGGTTGCTAATTTATATTTCTAAGGCAGTGGAATGATTGGTGTTTGTGGTTTATGTATTATCCATAAGAACCCTGAGTTTGTCCTATTCTTGTCATGAACTTAAATATCTCAAGAGCATTCTAATTAATCAATACTCAAAAATTTCTACATTTTTATCTCTATCCTCATTGATGATAATATTCCTTAAAATGTTATGCTTAGATGACTTTACATTTTTCTCCCAAAGCAAAGAATTTCTTCTTTCAAACCAAACGGTCTTTGACAGAGGAAAAATGTAGAAATGATGAAGTTGGAATAGGTACAACAGCCTTTTAAAGAAAATTTGTGTGTTTTGATTATGGATAATTCAGTGAATAAGTCTCTTTATCAGTTAACAAACTGCTTTTATTTAACTGTACCTTAAAATAGTATTTTCCCCCTTGGTTTAGAGAAAGTTAAACAATTTGAAGATATAGATCTACTCTTATTTTTATGGAAAATCCTGCTTTCCTGAACACTTCTGAGGTTGGCCATGGGGTCACGGTTTGAGGCCCTGGGGAGAACCTGCAGACATCAAAAACACCATTCTGATATGTTTGTGCAAAGAGCTGGCGAGGTTCACATGTGTCTTTATGGCTCTCCTCCCCTGGGTGTTTCTTTGGTACAAATTAAAAGCAGGGCCAGCTCTGGGATAGAGTCAAAACATATGGCTCAAGAGAAGCTGGACCCGAATGTTGACTGGTTCAAACTCCCATCCAGACTAACCTGAAAAATGTCAGTTATGCATGTAAATGTCCAAGATCTGATGAGCTGGAGGGCTGGAGGAAGGGGATTTTGGTAGGACCAGACCCGGCAAAGGATGCTCCTTTCTCTCTTTTTCTCTCTCATGTGTGCATGCATGAACTCTATTATGAATAAAAGGAGAAAAATGAGAGAGAACATTGTGTTTGTGTCTACATGTTCTCCCAATGTGTGTGCCTTATGAGCACATGGTGTGTGTGTGTGTGTGTGTGTGTGAGTGTGCACTGAAACAATCACTCAGCGAGATGCTTGTGGGGCAGGAATGATTAACCTTCCCAATTTAGTAACAATCAATTAAGGGAAATAGATATATACTTAAATCAGAGGATCTTAAGAAAATTATGATTTATTCATGGTTCGCATTGTACTTTTGTCTGTACCAACTTGAAAATTTTTCTTTTTTTTTCAGTTTGCTTTAGGGCACATGTTTTTAACAGAGAGAGATACAGAGAGACAGAAAGGGAGAAACAATCACCTGGGAGGGATAGCCATGCCACAGTCCCTTATACATTCTTCTCTTGGGATTTGGGGTATGCATGCACACGTGCTTGGCGTGTGTCTCCAGCTACTGAGTTAGGACTCAAATAGCACAGTCAGCCATGTTGGATCCTGCCACCCTAACATCTGTAACACCTGCTGACCTGGAAGTCACTTGATTTTCACTCTTCAATTTGAAGATAAAAATTCAGGACTGGATTTTCTCAGTCCTTGTCATCATGTCATAAATACTACATTATATCAATAAAATTCAACAAAAAGAATAAAATCCCTTTATATTGAATGATGCAATGAGTGAAGCCCTCCCAATAGTCTTGGAAAGACACTCTTTTAGTGTGTGTTACAGTTGGATGGCATAAAAAGTACAAAGCTAAGTGATCAGATGCCATTTTGTTCCTAAATCATTAGGTTATAGATTCTGGATTGAATTTTTGAAACTCCTAAGACATAAACAAAATATTAAAAAAACCTTTGGTATTTCATACTCTAATAAATCACAATATATACATTGTTACAGTGGATTGTATTTGATATTTAATTAAAATTTCACGGTTAAAAGTTTCACATTAATAGATAGAACTGTTTAACATATTCACAGCTGCCCGGTAATAAGCTAGATATTTTCAGTGATTATATCAAATAATTGTGATTACTGTCCTAAACCAATAGTTTCTTTATGGAAGGAAGATAAGATTCATTAGAAGTTTCCATAACTTCTTAAAATATCTGGCAACACAGATATCAGGTTATCATAAAAAATAGTTTCATATATGTGTGTGTGTATATACATTATACATTATACATATATACATATATATATTATATATACAGTCTATCTTCTTGGCCATTTTGGTTTCTTGCTATAGAAAGTATCACCTTTGGGCCAGCTGGTAGTATGGGGGTTAAGATGGCTGGATCCCACATGGCCTAAGAGCAATTTGAGTCTGGACTCAGTAGCTTAAAAAATATACTAGGTGCGTGTGCATGTGTGCCCCAAATCCTGACAGGTTGGAGAAATGATAGAGTAGAAATTGTAGCATGACCATGCCCCATTGGGCATGGGGGTGGGGAGTGCTTTCTCTCTCTCTCTCTCTCTCTCTCTCTCTGTTTCTTTGGAGAGTATACACACTCTCTGGCAAAAAAAAAAAAAAAAAAAAAATGCGCAGAAGCTGTGCACTGTATGTGAGGAGTTAAGAAAAAACCCAAAACTTCCTCCTCCCTCTGTGGAAAGAGACTATGTGGGCACTTGTCCCTCCACCTCAGTCACCTTCCTCACCACCCTTTGTACACAGACTGTGTAGAGGTTGCCTGAGCACTGTCCCAAGAAATATTTGATGGAGCAAATAGATCTTTCCTGGGGCATGTAGAGCAAAGGGTGCTGGCTTTCTTGGAATCAAGGCTATTATGTTGAGTGGGAAAGGAGGTTTGTTCTAGTGAAAAGTGTGAGGAACTTTGACAGAGGCTGTCATCAGCAGATGGTGCCAAAAATTAATAAGAGAAGCTTGGTTTTGTCTTAATACTGTGGGGCTGATGACACCAGTGATTGTTCCAAACATTATTCCCCTGGTCTCCTTTCTGCTGGAAAGTGAGAAGTCTCAAATTTCAGTAGAATTGCTTTCTCATTGCTTTGTGTGTGTGTGTGTGTGTGTGTGTGTGTGTGTGTGTGTCGATTTTTTGCTATAGGGCATGTGCACTTGTTGGAAAGAGAAAGACAGTGAGAGAAAAAGAGAAATCACCAGCCGGGGAGATGGTCATGCTGAAATCAATTCTCTATTTTCCTCTCAGATTTTGGGCACACACACATGCATACCTTGCATGATTTTCAAGTCACTGGGTCTGAAACTCAGACAGTTGTGGGCCTTGTGGGAGTCCAGTGCCTTAACCACCATGCTGCTTGTGGGCCTCTTCCATTGCTTTATTAAAGTCTTTGGAATAAGATTATCTCATAAGGAAATTGTTTACCTCTGTCTTTTTCTGCTCGACTCTAGCCCACAGTTGTTAATAAGCACCAGGCAATTATGCAATCTCTTTGACCTACATCATTGTTAAGAGATCTATTACAAGAAAGAGTATTTTATTTCTAATCCATTATATCAACTTCTCTTGCAGAAATAGATGACAAGAGGGTGAACAGCACACAAGGAGAAGTGAGTTTCCCTTTATTTCATATGCATTTGTGTTCAATCAATTAAAAGCACAATCATCTTGATTTGATGTTGTATGCATGATGATATAAATATAACTGTGAACTAAAAAATATTTCTTTCGTTTTTCCTGACTGAACAAACAGTAAATTGCTATAATTAAAATCTCTGCTTCTTCATTACTTAGATTCTCTAGCCATAAAATGCTAACTCTGCAAAAATTTCTTAATTAAAAGATTGGTTTTAGTGGCCTGTTATTGTGTTGGTAATAGTTCAAATAGAAGACAGGAACCAGGGGAGACTAGGAGAGTTGAATATAGAATATAAAGAAAAGAGTAAACTTGCACCCAGAATAGGAGCAAATATAGAGTAGGATCCTGTGCAGAATTGATAATTCCCACAATCGTATGTATAAACAGCACTAGTTAAAGAAGGAAATGTAGAAAGGACAAATACCAAATAATATTCCCCAAGGCTTCCCTAAAACTTAGTGATATGGTCATTGTGAAAATTCTTGAAAAACTATACTATTAATATCATATAAATATGTTTTACTACTTAATTTTCCATTTGATCCTTGACTATGTGTATGGAACAAGGTATATAAGACATCCCAGAAATAATTGCTTCTTGAAATCAACTAGATGTGACCGCAACAATAGAGAAGCCCTAGAAATGTCAACCGTTCACACATTAACTATTAATGTATAGTTACTCTGCCTGTACCTGTACATTATAAAAGTAATCTATCCTGGAGAGAGTTGCTTTTACCATCTCCTTAGTTGATATGTATTTGACAATGAGGATTTTCACTTTTTAATAGATTGCTTTGCATCAGGTAAATATCAACATCTTGATGATACCTTCGAGAGCAATTAAGCTTTGGTATTTATAAGAAATAAACATCGCAGTCTATTGACAACTTTGTGAAGCACTGTTTTTTTCAAACTTTGTACATTATGGTTTTTTAAAAATATACATTTAGAGCCTAGAGCAATACCAAAAAGATATTTATACTTGAATTTTTTGAAAAAAAAGTACGTGCTCCAAACAATAAAACTCATTAATTAAAATATCTGTCCTTGCCATATTAAAGTATAGATCAACATGCTGTTATAAAGGAGTTTTTCATATAATCCAATTGGGGTATAAACCCCATAAATACAATTTGTTAGTATAAATAATATTCATAGATATAGTTCCATATCATTATTTGTGATTTTGACCCTCAAATATATTCCTATTTATTTCATTTTTAAATGGAAATTCCCTTCTTTAATAACTTAATCTTGATCCACTGTGCTTAAGAAGAGTGATATATAGCAGTTTCATTAGGAGAAAATGTATCTTTTTGAACATACAAGAGACTAATATCTAAACATTGTAATTTTAAGTAAATGGAAATGGAGATATTAGGTTGAATATTTTAATTCAAGAAAGTTTCTTTTTTCTTTTTCTTTTTTTTTTTTGGAGAGATTTTTGCTATAGAGTGCATGCGCTCACCAGAAAGAGAGAGAGACAGAGAGGTAGAAAGCAAGAAATCACCCCCCAGGGGGGATGGCCACACCGCAATCCCTTCTCCTCCTCCATTCTCCTCTCGGGATCCTGGGAACGCATGCACACACACCCGGCGTCACTTTAAGCCACCGGGTCCAGGACATGAACCGCGGTTGATTACATGGGAGTCCAGCGGCATAGCCATTACGCTAACTGCTGGTCCCAATTCAAGACAATTTTAAGCGGTATTACTTACCACAGATTTCATTTTACCTGCTCAACCACTTGATAATCCCAGGATATGGTGCTATTATTCTTTGGACACAAAAGTATCCTTTTTGATAATACTTTGTCTTAGAACTCATATTTTCCTTTCCAATGTAAAGTATTGATGTTTTTATTTAAAAAAAAAAAACACAATGTTACTAGATGATGAAGTAAAGAGAGTAACTTCAAGACTTCAATGAATAAGAAACTTAAAAAGAAAAGGATGTAAAATAGACCCATAACTTCATGTATCTTTTAAACTAGGCTAGCACTGAGCATGTGTATCATTTCTCCTTGATTACAGTTGTATTTCATGACAGGGAGAATCAGAAAGATCTTCAAACCATGACACAGTTTACTTTCCTTACAGATCTAATATCATTGTTCCTTTTATCTGAATCTAAGGCTTTACTTTTTCTCTTTGTCTGCAGTCACAGAATGCGTCCCCTAAACAAAGGAAGCAGAGTGTGTACACACCACCGGCCATGAAAGGTACCGTTCAGGAGCGTCTTGAGTTGTTAGGGTTGGTAGGCTGTCTGATCTCAAAAACTATGTGTTTGATCATCAACTAGATCTAACATCAGTTCTATAATGCAAGAGCTTAACGATCAATAAGGTAAGTTTAGTTTCAGGAAGAGTAAAGTAGATTTTGAAGAAGTGATAACTAAGGGGGACCAAGCAGTTAGCGTAATGGCTATGTCGTTGGACTCCCATGTAGTCGACTGCGGTTCGAGCCCTGGACCCGGTGGCTTAAAACTCACGCCAGGTGTGTGCGTGCATGCCCAAGATCCCGAGAGGAGAATGGAGGAGAAGGGATTGCGGCGTGGCCATCCTCCCTGGGGGGTGATTTCTCGCTTTCTGTCTCTCTGTCTCTGTCTGGCGAGCGCATGCGCCCTATAGTGA